ATCCCAACGCGACCTTTTCCTTACAGTGAGGAAAGGATACGTGTATGTGAGTGGGACGTACGAGAAGCCGTTGCACAAATCGGCGGGCGGTATTACTTCCCTCTGGCCAACCGCTGTTCTGGGTTCGTAGAAGCCGGGTTTGTTATTATCGATACGCACTTCCCACGTTACTCGGTATTGTTGCCATTTAACGAGTTGATCGTCATTCCGTGGACGGCAGTAGAACCCCACTGGCCGCGCACTCTGTGCACCGAATGTTAGCGTTTTGAGTGCTACGAGTCCAGGGGTTTCCACTACTGTGTGCGCAGTGAAGACGAGCATAAAGAAAGAGCCACGCGACTGAGATCCTCCACGTCAGACTCGGAACTAACCAGCGAACGACGACGAGACTTGATACGAAAACGGGACACGCGAAGTGTGCCCAAGCCTTTGTGTTCTAAACGACGGGTTGTAGCCCAGTGGGAGGCACAACAATACTTTTTACATTGAATTTGGATTTTTCCCTCTCTTCTCGCCTTGCCCGTGCGCGCATTCCGCGACGCGCGAAAACGATCGACTTGCTCCATCAGACCAACACGGGGGATTTCAGTTCCGTTTGTGTCCCCACACTCAATTTCCAAAAATCCTTGGCACACCCCATCTTGCTGTTTTTCTGGGCCTCTTTTTCGCGCAGCTAACACTCCGAACGGAAGACGGCACAGGGCGTGAGGTTAGCGCATCACACATAGGCGAACCCTAGTTTTTCTTGGTTTTCTAGAGAGATCCTGGCCTTCTCACTGGCATCAGCCTCCGGTTATTCTTCGAATTCTTGCGGAGGTTATTCGAACCTAGAGCATCTCCAGTTTCCCTCCTCGGTAGACTTACGGCCGCCATCTGTTCCCCAATGCATACCTTTTATCATCAACTGGATGTCTAGGCAATCTATTAGGATCCCCCAGAGTAGCTCCAGTTTTCGTCCTCAGTGTGTTTTACGGGCACCATCCGCTCCCCCAACCTCTATCATCAATGGCAGCCACTCTGGGCTATTCTAATCTGACAGTATTCTCCATGCAGGTCAGTTTCCCCAACGATATCCTCCACCAGGGCCTATCCCAGCTCTACGTCAACCCAGAAGACCCCTAAGACATCCACTACCGCAGGGCCCCCAACCCTCCAGTAGGGATAGTGTCCAACCAACCCTCCCCCCAGTGGAGTCCCGAATCAATCCCACCTAGAAACCAAGCCACCCCAAAGCTGAGCCCTAAGGTAACCAATACCACGTGATCAACTGCCCACGCGTCCCCACAATGTTTATTCATGAACTCATATTTTCGGTATAAAACCGAGAACCATGAACCTCATCCTTATCAGTGACCAGCGTTAAACCACCTGTACCTTTCCCAACCATTTAACACGGAGGCCGCACTCAGCCTCCGGCGGCGGCCAGATGTGCCGTCAAAACTCGGCGTGCAGGGGTCGCGACCAACAGCTGGGAAAGGTACTCAGTCTGGCGGTTTAACCTACCGAGCTGCAGTCTTGAATGGTCTGAACGTGTGCTACGCTAAGCTGGAGTAAGGGACAAGTGTGCAAGCATTCAGACAAACCCATGGACCAAGTGTGCAAGCATTCAGACAAACCCATGGACCAAGTGTGCAAGCAAACCAATCATAGTCTGGACCCAACATACAACACCATGGACGATCCCTTGGGTGGTGCGCAGGCAGTGTCTGTAACAGCTTACCTGTGTCACCCCAAGGGGGTATCCGAGTGACCGTACATTATGTAAACGCCCACCGGTGTCTCTGCGCAGAGGTGTGGAGTTTTGATCCCGCAACCTCATACCACAATGCGCATTGACAACCGGTGCCCTAACCGCTGAGCCACAGGCCACTTACCAAGTGGCACTTCCTTCTATTGCCTTCCCAACAATTTTCCGAAAATCCTTCACTATGGTAAATGCTTGTGTGGCAAGCATCATGATAGTTCTCTCTTCGCAGACCCAGTGCTCGTTCTCTTTCCATCAGACCCAGTGCTACATGCATGCCGAGTGAAACGTATCCTGTCGTGAAACAACTGAATTCATGACTATCGGTAAGGTTCAAGCACCACGCGTGGTGTCCACGTGCTGAAGAAACGTGAACCCGATCACAGAACACAAATTCATGCTTTGGTAGGTGGAAGATAGCACCACTGCGACCTGGCCCTAACATAGCACCATTAGCTTAGTGGGCTCCGACTGGTGATGATGATAGGCGTCTCTATGATAAGTACCCCTGTGACGAACCACCTTCTGTAACGCGCGAGTTTCTGCGCGGTTGCAACGAGGGGTCCTAAGCTGGGAAGATTGGGCCAACTACGGGAAATCAGGATCGGTGGAAAATTGCATCAGTACCCTTGCTTCTTTGTCTTTTTCGTCACTTCTTCGGGGTTGGGTGTATCCTGGGACGGCCGGTAGAGTGGTTGGTCGAATGGATGTCTGGCGCGCCACCGCGCGCACGATTAATAAATGTTGACGTCGTTTCTTTTGGTTTGGTTTTCAATCTTTTGGGCGCGGGCATCGCGCGGGAAACTGCTTCATTCTTTTTTTGAATTTCCTCTTGAATCTTTTTCGAATTTTGTCGAGCCCCCAATGGCTCTCGGAATTTTGGACTTTCCCTCTGGAATTTATGCTTTTTTTTTGCTTTTTCGCATTAGATAGGAATTTTGGAATTCAGTAATTAGGACGTTTTCTGCCGCACGCCGTCTTTTGTCTACGCGCTTCTTCATGCAGCTGCAACGGTACTTTAATTAGTGGGCGCATTTAATCGCGAGTGTAACTGTAATTTTGGGCGGGCGCCATTGTAACTCTATCTCTCTTCTTGCACTTCGTCTCTCCCGCCCTCCCTCTCTTTCTTTTGCTGAAATTTTGTAAGCCGCGGCTTGCATGCTCGGATCGATGCGTGGAGAAGGGTTATGTCCCCCATGCCGCGGCCGATCATGCAGAACGCAGGCGCTCCCTCTCTAATCGCCACTCTAAGTCCTGGTAATTCCGTGTTCTTCGCACATGCATGCACGCTATAAATTTCGGATGCGCGATTAGTCAGCTCTCTTAACCCGTTGTTGG